ATGCTCCAGTCTCAGAATGCTCCATTGGCAAAATGCTCCAGTCGCAAAATGCTCCAGTCTCAAAATGCTCCAGTCTCAAAATGCTCCAGTCGCAAAATGCTCCAGTCTCAAAATGCTCCAGTCGCAAAATGTTCCAATCGCAAAATGCTCCAGTCTCAAAATGTTCCAGTCTCAAAATGCTCCAGTCTCAAAATGCTCCAGTCTCAAAATGCTCCAGTCGCAAAATGCTCCAGTCGCAAAATGCTCCAGTCGCAAAATGCTCCAGTCACAAAATGCTCCAGTCTCAAAATGCTCCAGTCGCAAAATGTTCCAATCGCAAAATGCTCCAGTCTCAAAATGTTCCAGTCTCAAAATGCTCCAGTCTCAAAATGCTCCAGTCTCAAAATGCTCCAGTCGCAAAATGCTCCAGTCTCAAAATGCTCCAGTCTCAAAATGCTCCAGTCTCAAAATGCTCCAGTCGCAAAATGCTCCAGTCTCAAAATGCTCCAGTCGCAAAATGCTCCAATCGCAAAATGCTCCAGTCGCAAAATGCTCCAGTCGCAAAATGCTCCATTGGCAAAATGCTCCAGTCTCAAAATGCTCCAGTCGCAAAATGTTCCAATCGCAAAATGCTCCAGTCTCAAAATGTTCCAGTCTCAAAATGCTCCAGTCTCAAAATGCTCCAGTCTCAAAATGCTCCAGTCGCAAAATGCTCCAGTCGCAAAATGCTCCAGTCGCAAAATGCTCCAGTCACAAAATGCTCCAGTCTCAAAATGCTCCAGTCGCAAAATGTTCCAATCGCAAAATGCTCCAGTCTCAAAATGTTCCAGTCTCAAAATGCTCCAGTCTCAAAATGCTCCAGTCTCAAAATGCTCCAGTCGCAAAATGCTCCAGTCGCAAAATGCTCCAGTCACAAAATGCTCCAGTCTCAAAATGCTCCAGTCGCAAAATGCTCCATTGGCAAAATGCTCCAGTCGCAAAATGCTCCAGTCTCAAAATGCTCCAGTCTCAAAATGCTCCAGTCTCAAAATGCTCCAGTCTCAAAATGCTCCAGTCGCAAAATGCTCCAGTCTCAAAATGCTCCAGTCTCAAAATGCTCCAGTCTCAAAATGCTCCAGTCTCAAAATGCTCCAGTCGCAAAATGCTCCAGTCTCAAAATGCTCCAGTCTCAAAATGCTCCAGTCTCAAAATGCTCCAGTCGCAAAATGCTCCAGTCTCAAAATGCTCCAGTCGCAAAATGCTCCAATCGCAAAATGCTCCAGTCGCAAAATGCTCCAGTCGCAAAATGCTCCATTGGCAAAATGCTCCAGTCTCAAAATGCTCCAGTCGCAAAATGTTCCAATCGCAAAATGCTCCAGTCTCAAAATGTTCCAGTCTCAAAATGCTCCAGTCTCAAAATGCTCCAGTCTCAAAATGCTCCAGTCGCAAAATGCTCCAGTCGCAAAATGCTCCAGTCACAAAATGCTCCAGTCTCAAAATGCTCCAGTCGCAAAATGTTCCAATCGCAAAATGCTCCAGTCTCAAAATGTTCCAGTCTCAAAATGCTCCAGTCTCAAAATGCTCCAGTCTCAAAATGCTCCAGTCGCAAAATGCTCCAGTCGCAAAATGCTCCAGTCACAAAATGCTCCAGTCTCAAAATGCTCCAGTCGCAAAATGCTCCATTGGCAAAATGCTCCAGTCGCAAAATGCTCCAGTCTCAAAATGCTCCAGTCTCAAAATGCTCCAGTCTCAAAATGCTCCATTGGCAAAATGCTCCATTAGCAAAATGCTCCAGTCGCAAAATGCTCCAATCGCAAAATGCTCCAGTCTCAAAATGCTCCAGTCGCAAAATGCTCCAGTCTCAAAATGCTCCATTGGCAAAATGCTCCAGTCGCAAAATGCTCCAGTCTCAAAATGCTCCAGTCGCAAAATGCTCCAGTCGCAAAATGCTCCAGTCTCAAAATGCTCCAGTCGCAAAATGCTCCAGTCGCAAAATGCTCCAGTCTCAAAATGCTCCAGTCTCAGAATGCTCCATTGGCAAAATGCTCCAGTCGCAAAATGCTCCAGTCTCAAAATGCTCCAGTCGCAAAATGCTCCAGTCGCAAAATGCTCCAGTCTCAAAATGCTCCAGTCGCAAAATGCTCCAGTCTCAAAATGCTCCAGTCTCAGAATGCTCCAGTCTCAAAATGCTCCATTGGCAAAATGCTCCATTGGCAAAATGCTCCATTGGCAAAATGCTCCATTGACAAAATGCTCTAGTCTCAAAATGCTCCAGTCACAAAATGCTCCAGGCTCAAAATGCTCCAGTCTCAAAATGCTCCAGTCTCAAAATGCTCCAGTCGCAAAATGCTTCAGTCTCAAAATGCTCCAGTCGCAAAATGCTCCAGTCGCAAAATGCTCCAGTCTCAAAATGCTCCAGTCTCAAAATGCTCCAGTCGCAAAATGCTCCAATCGCAAAATGCTCCAGTCTCAAAATGCTCCAGTCTCAAAATGCTCCAGTCTCAAAATGCTCCAGTCGCAAAATGCTCCAGTCTCAAAATGCTCCAGTCTCAAAATGCTCCAGTCGCAAAATGCTCCAGTCTCAAAATGCTCCAGTCGCAAAATGCTCCAGTCACAAAATGCTCCAGTCTTAAAATGCTCCAGTCGCAAAATGTTCCAATCGCAAAATGCTCCAGTCTCAAAATGTTCCAGTCGCAAAATGCTCCAGTCGCAAAATGCTCCAGTCACAAAATGCTCCAGTCTCAAAATGCTCCAGTCGCAAAATGTTCCAATCGCAAAATGCTCCAGTCTCAAAATGTTCCAGTCTCAAAATGCTCCAGTCTCAAAATGCTCCAGTCTCAAAATGCTCCAGTCTCAAAAAGCTCCAGTCTCAAAATGCTCCAGTCTCAAAATGCTCCAGTCGCAAAATGCTCCAGTCGCAAAATGCTCCAGTCTCAAAATGCTCCAGTCTCAAAATGCTCCAGTCGCAAAATGCTCCATTGGCAAAATGCTCCAGTCGCAAAATGCTCCAGTCTCAAAATGCTCCAGTCTCAAAATGCTCCAGTCTCAAAATGCTCCAGTCTCAAAATGCTCCAGTCGCAAAATGCTCCAGTCTCAAAATGCTCCAGTCTCAAAATGCTCCAGTCTCAAAATGCTCCAGTCTCAAAATGCTCCAGTCGCAAAATGCTCCAGTCTCAAAATGCTCCAGTCTCAAAATGCTCCAGTCTCAAAATGCTCCAGTCGCAAAATGCTCCAGTCTCAAAATGCTCCAGTCGCAAAATGCTCCAATCGCAAAATGCTCCAGTCGCAAAATGCTCCAGTCGCAAAATGCTCCATTGGCAAAATGCTCCAGTCTCAAAATGCTCCAGTCGCAAAATGTTCCAATCGCAAAATGCTCCAGTCTCAAAATGTTCCAGTCTCAAAATGCTCCAGTCTCAAAATGCTCCAGTCTCAAAATGCTCCAGTCGCAAAATGCTCCAGTCGCAAAATGCTCCAGTCGCAAAATGCTCCAGTCACAAAAATGCTCCAGTCTCAAAATGCTCCAGTCGCAAAATGTTCCAATCGCAAAATGCTCCAGTCTCAAAATGTTCCAGTCTCAAAATGCTCCAGTCTCAAAATGCTCCAGTCTCAAAATGCTCCAGTCGCAAAATGCTCCAGTCGCAAAATGCTCCAGTCACAAAATGCTCCAGTCTCAAAATGCTCCAGTCGCAAAATGCTCCATTGGCAAAATGCTCCAGTCGCAAAATGCTCCAGTCTCAAAATGCTCCAGTCTCAAAATGCTCCAGTCTCAAAATGCTCCATTGGCAAAATGCTCCATTAGCAAAATGCTCCAGTCGCAAAATGCTCCAATCGCAAAATGCTCCAGTCTCAAAATGCTCCAGTCGCAAAATGCTCCAGTCTCAAAATGCTCCATTGGCAAAATGCTCCAGTCGCAAAATGCTCCAGTCTCAAAATGCTCCAGTCGCAAAATGCTCCAGTCGCAAAATGCTCCAGTCTCAAAATGCTCCAGTCGCAAAATGCTCCAGTCGCAAAATGCTCCAGTCTCAAAATGCTCCAGTCTCAGAATGCTCCATTGGCAAAATGCTCCAGTCGCAAAATGCTCCAGTCTCAAAATGCTCCAGTCGCAAAATGCTCCAGTCGCAAAATGCTCCAGTCTCAAAATGCTCCAGTCGCAAAATGCTCCAGTCTCAAAATGCTCCAGTCTCAGAATGCTCCAGTCTCAAAATGCTCCATTGGCAAAATGCTCCATTGGCAAAATGCTCCATTGGCAAAATGCTCCATTGACAAAATGCTCTAGTCTCAAAATGCTCCAGTCACAAAATGCTCCAGGCTCAAAATGCGCCAGTCTCAAAATGCTCCAGTCTCAAAATGCTCCAGTCGCAAAATGCTTCAGTCTCAAAATGCTCCAGTCGCAAAATGCTCCAGTCGCAAAATGCTCCAGTCTCAAAATGCTCCAGTCTCAAAATGCTCCAGTCGCAAAATGCTCCAGTCGCAAAATGCTCCAGTCTCAAAATGCTCCAGTCTCAAAATGCTCCAGTCTCAAAATGCTCCAGTCGCAAAATGCTCCAGTCTCAAAATGCTCCAGTCTCAAAATGCTCCAGTCGCAAAATGCTCCAGTCTCAAAATGCTCCAGTCTCAAAATGCTCCATTGGCAAAATGCTCCAGTCGCGAAATACTCCATTGGCAAAATGCTCCAGTCGCAAAATGCTCCAGTCTTAAAATGCTCCAGTCGCAAAATGCTCCAATATTACAATATGGTCAAAGGGGCCTTAGACCATATTACAATATGCTCCAATTACAAAATACTCCAATTAAAAAATGCTCCAATTACAAAATGCTCCAATTGTAAAATGCAAAATTGTAATGTCTGCTTTGGGCCCAAATTGTAATATTTGTAAATAGTTTATACATTCGACAACATAAATAGACTTAATAAAATTGTCTTATTCGGCTCGCTGGAAGAAAGAAGTCTGTGACTTAAGTATGCCGAAAGATTTATTTATTATTTAAGATTTTAATCTACACAACCAGCGTGCAGCGTGCCGTCAAGAGGTATAATAATACGTATAATACCTATTTGTAAATATCTTTTATTTGTTGGAAATGTCTTGGGGCTTGGGGAATGTTTGCGCAAAAATGGCATCGCCTGCCGTTTCCGCCACCTTGGAAGAGCTCTTAATGATCTTGTGGGTGCGTCGCATGTGGACGCCCAGACTAACCCGCTCCGAAAAACGCGTCGTGCACAGGGCGCACTGCAGGGTCTTCTCCTTGTGAATGTGCCGGTGCTTGACCAGGGCGTTGGCATTGGTAAAGGTCTTTTGGCAGACCTCGCACACCTTGTCGCGGATGTTCAGGTGCGCCTTCACGTGGTCCTTGAGGTCGCGCTTGGTCAGAAAGTCCTTAGGGCACATGTCACACTTGAAGGCCCGGATCTTGGTGTGCACCGCCGTCACGTGGGTTGTCATTTGGATCTTCTGTTTGAAGGACTTGCCACAGAACTCGCAGACGAACGGCTTGGCCACGTGCTTCTCGTCGTGGGTGCGTTTGTGGACGGCTAGCTGGTTGCCGAATGCGAAGCTCCGGGCGCAGATGTCGCAGGCAAACGCCTTGCTCATGTGCACCCGCTGAATGTGCTGCTGCAGGTGGCACCTTCGGTCGAAATTAAGCTCGCACAACGTGCACCGAAACCAGCCTCCCTCGCCCATTTTGTGATCCCGGAACTGATGGGCCTGCAGGGCGTGATCTGTGCTATAGGCGTTCTCGCAAACAGCACATTTGAGCTTTTGGCGGAATGATTTGGTGGGCATGAAGCTCTTGCAGCGCTCTATGTAGCGCTTCTCGGCCAGGGATAGACCCACCGATTGCACGTCGGTGAGGGTTTTAATCCGTCGCGAATACCACTGCCGCATGCTCTGAATACTGTCGTACACATCGTAGTGCGTGATCAGACCCAGCGACATCTCCGCAGTCAGCAGGTCTGTGATCTCTATGAGCGACGACTTGCGTTCACTCAGATTGGAGAAGTACTTGTGCGCCGGATCGTAAAGATGGGGAAACTTGGAGTACAGGTCAATGAACAGAGTGGTCAGTCGATTCTCCTCCGTGAACACTAGCTGTCGAGGGGGTAAACGTTAGAGGTGACAAGAAGAGTATGCTCCAGTCAAACCCACCTTTATTTTGCCATCGCCTTCGTCCTCATCGCTGTCTGCATCTTCCAGACCGGCGCGCTCTGCCAGAAAGCCGTATTTCCCATGGTAATACAGTGGAACCTTGGTCAGTTTCTGGGTTTTCATCTGCCGCGAAATCGCCGCATACTGGGCGTGCAGACTGGTGATGCACTTCTTCAGCTTGTAGGGCGTCAGGTTAAGATTAACGGTGGCCTTTAGTTGCTCCAGCAAATCCTCGTAGGCAGCTGTGCGCACCTGCCTGTTCTTGTAGGACTCATCAGCCGGATCCCAGAGACAGGTGTGCCGCTTGTACAGCTCGATGAACTGGGTGATCCGTGGACTGCGTCGGTAAAACGTGGGATTGAACTGCCGGGATTGGGATGCAAAGTGTCTGATTGAGTGGCTGATTTGGGTTACAGGTAACAACAGTTGCTTACTTTGGAAAGGGGAGCGAAGGTTGTGGAATTGCTGGTGCCCAGTTGGCAGTCGACTGCCATTGAGGGGCAGTCCACCTCGTCATCCTCCTCCTCTTCGCTGGCGCTCTCGTCCTCGGAGGAAGATGAAGCGGAAGCGGGCAGGTCAACGAACATTTCCTCGGCCAGGCAATCTTCCGGTGGCTCCTCCATTATGAAGATCTTGGCCGGCGAAACACCGCACTCGCTTTCGGCGCTTTCCGAAAGGAATTCGCAGGCAGACAGGTCCTCCTCCGTTTTGGGATGCGTCCCCAGGTGCTGCTTGATGTGCAGGATGAACTCCGCCCACCGCTCGAATTCCATCTCCACGAGGCAATCATTTTGGTGCGCACACGTCAATACAAAGTGCTCGTAGTTGTCCCTGGCCAGGATATTCCCGCAAATCACCATGGTTTGCTTACAAACAAAAAGATTCCAATGCCAACAACACCATGTATCGATAACATCTGCTGCTGCAGTGTTATCGATAACCACTCGTGGAAATTCCATTGATAAGAAATCGATAACATATAAACATATTTTGGAAAAAATGATTTTTTGGGGTATTTTTATATTCTAAATAATTATTACTAAAGTGCATGTATGATTTACAAAAATTTGTAAGAAAAATAAAAAACGCTTGATAAATACGTAATGTTTATTTCAGGTTTTAAGACAAATGAAGAGATTTTACTAGTAATTAAAAAAACGGCACAACTTCTGAATGCTTTGAAATTAATGATGATGTTTAACTCATTCCCATCTTGTGACTACGACGATGTCGGGAGAGCGATGAATGATCGTAGAATGTGGCCTCGCAGTACTCGCACTTCTTATCACGGATATTCAAGTGGCCCTTAATGTGGTTGGCCAGCTCGAACTTCTTGCGGAAGGTCTTGCTGCACAGGTCGCAGCTGTAGGGGCGAATGTTCAGGTGGACCCCGTTGACGTGGTGGTCTAGGAGCAGCTTGAGCCGGAACGTCTTGCCGCAAATGTCGCACACGTGAGGCCTCTCGCCCGTATGGATGAGCACGTGCACCTTAAGGTCGTTGTCCACGGCGAAGCTTTTGTTGCAGTACTGGCACCTCAGCTTTCGCTCGAAGTGCGTGCGCAGCTTGTGGCGGTCCATGTCCACCTGCCGGTCGAAGCGCCTCGGACAGAGGGAGCAGAGGTACGGGCAGGTCGCCCACCTGGTGAGCCTTGAAGATGTGCACCCGCAGGTTGTAGTCGCCGTGGAAGCGCTTCTCGCAGTAGTCGCAGTACAGCACCGAGCTCTCGGAACCCTTGGCGGGCAGGAAGCTGCACATGCGCAGATACTGCACCTCCTGCTGGCAGCACTTCTGGATCAACTCCTTCGATCTGAGGCGGCGCATGGCATCGTACAGCCAACGGCGGAGCTTGTTGACCGCAATATAAACGTCCGTCTCGTTGGCCTTCACCACTGGCTGAAATTCCTTGGCCAAACGTCGGTACGCATTGGCGCGCGCCTCCACCGAAGTGAACTCGGCCAGGTCGGGGTTGTAGAGCCCCGGATAGTTGGCATAGGTCTCTATGAAAGAGGTGGTGACCAGGTTTTCCTCCTTAAAGTTTAGCTGTAGTTTTAGGGGTTCGGTTAGAAATCAATTAAATGCAAAAAGGGTTGTTTATACCTTAATAACAATCAAGTCGTCGTCCTCCTCCTCGTTCTCTTTGGGCGTTATGCTGGGCGCCACACTGAGGTATTCGCACTTGGCAAAGTAACGCTCCGCCAGGCCAACCAGCTTGCCCTTTTGTTTGGTCTCCAGGGCCAACGTGTACTGGATGTGCAGCTGCTCGATGGTTTTCTTCAGCTCCTCCACGGTGAAGAGAACATTGGCCCGGCGGTCCATGCGTTCCATGATTGCCTCATAGGCCATGTTGTGCGCCTCCTCATCCTGGTAGTTCTCATGCGAGGGATTCCATAGGCAGGGATGCTCCTTGTAGGCGTGAATGAGGTGCAGCACACGGGGATTGCTCCGAATAAACGACACTTTGAACTGAAAGAGTCAAGTATTCGGATTAATTTGATGATTTCCAGATAAATGGGTTTTGGTACTTACCTTGAAAACCTGTCCTGGTCTCGTTCGCCTGGGCGGACGTCCCACCGGACGTTTCTTTGGCGGTGCTACGTCATCCTCAGACACGTAAAAATCACTACACTCGCCGTCATCTTGATCATTGCTTAAGGGGATGTGGTTTTGAGATGACTCTTCCATTTTCATGGTTTCCTTTGGGGTTGTTTCCTGAGACCCATATGGTTGGTAATCGGCATTGGGGTCCGACCAAGCGGTGGCTTCTTCCACGTACTGAAAATCCTATGGAAGATATTAAAGAATCTTATATTTATTGGTTACCATTTTTCTAGCAATTTCCGGGCCTTACATTGGCATCAGCTAGCACCCATTTTTCCTCCGCATTGTTGTCTTCGATCACCTCAAATAACTCATCCGGACCATAGGCTATGGCGGGATCGGAGGCATCGACGGCAACGAACATCTCTTGCGACTCCTGCTTGGTTTCGCTGATCTTAGTGTCCTCCTCCTCGCAATAGTGGGCCGTCTTCACATGGACAATGAACAGCTCCCAGTCCTTTAGCTCGCTCTCTATCGTGCAGTAGATGCACTTCAGCCGGAACAACTCGTACCTGGCGTTGGTAAGCACACTGCCACACACCTCCATCATGGTGTTGTTGCCTCTGAATCCACCGCAGATTGGAAAATTCCTTTTTTTTGACGAAATTCTCGTTTATTTACGACGGTAAAAATGTTTAGCGTTTGGTGTTGGACAGCGAAAAAATGCTATCATCTGTATTGTCTATCGAACGGACTATCGCAAAAAGTAACAACGACTATCGAAATAATTTATTCAAATTAAGGTTTAAAAATACAATTTTGTGGGTTTTTTTTATAGCTGTTGTATTGGATGAATACAATTTCGAAATAATTGTTTAAATACATATTTTAGCACAGGGCTAGCTTGTCTTCAGAACTTGCATTACACAAATGAAAAAAACGTTAAAAATGTTTGAAAAATTAGTATTTAAAAATATGTTTGAAGTTCAAACTTTTAACGTTGTAGAAAAATACGAACAATAATTTAATTTAAATTCTTCTTCAGTCGCTGCATATAGAAAGTATATAAAATTACGGCTTTCATTCTATTTTTAAGAGTACTTGCTCTTTTTGCAAAGTTTGTTTTTATTTATTTTAAACTTTATCTTCTAAATTAAATTAACCGAATTCATTGGTCGGATTCGCCTGCCTCATTTGCAGCTTGCGCATTGTTGCGAACGATGTTGTGAGTGCGTTTCATGTGGCTATTGAGACCCACAAACTGGGAGAACCTGGCGTCGCAGAGCTTGCACACGAACTTCTTGACCTCGGAATGAATCTGCCGATGGCGAATCAGCGAATGGCAGCTAGAGAAACCCTTGCCGCACACGTTGCAGATTTTATCGCGAATGTTGAGATGCGCCTTGACATGGTCCGTGAGGTGGACCTTTCTCTTGAAGTCCTTGGGACACATATCGCACTTGTAGGGCCTTATTTGGGCGTGAATGGCATTGACATGGACCGTCATTTGCGATCTGAGCCGAAAGGCCTTGCCGCAGTGCTCGCAGATGAAGGGCTTGTGACCCGTATGCGTGCGGATGTGCAGCTCCAGGTCCGAGGACACGGAAAATGTCATCTCGCAGTGGGTGCACTTCTGCGTCTTGCCGATGTGGGTGCGCTTGGTGTGAATCACCAATTCGCCACGTGTCTCAAAGCTCCGGTCGCACTGCGAGCACTTAAAGGGCAGCTCACCGATGTTGTGCGCCTTGAAGATGTGCGACTGCAGGACGGGATCCGAGAAGGTGACCTGTTCGCAGATCTCGCAGACCAGCCGCTGCCTGAACAGCTTTGGTGGCAGGAAGCGGCACACCTCCAGGTAAAACTTCTCGGACCCGCTTTCAGCACTTATGTTGTGCTTGGTGTTCTTGTAGTACCACTGGCGCAGATTCTGGATGGCGAGGTAAATGTCATCGCTGTTGATGTCCTGATTGGGCACCGATATATCCGCTGCCAGGCTCTCGTAGGCCTGTTTGCGGGAGTTAATGTTCGAGAACTCCTTGTGCGCAGGGTCGTACAGCTGGGGAAAGTTGGCATACATCTCTATCAGGCCGGTGGTCAGCTTGTTTTTCTTGGAGAAATCCAGCTGGAAACAAAGTAAAGCTCTTAATCGGGAATAATATTAACAATCTTTAGTACTTGCCTTGATCTTTTCAGTGCTGTAACTCTCCTCCCCTTCCTCCATGTTGGCCTTCAGGAAGCTGCATAAAGTATAAATACTGAAGACGAAGGACTTGGGTTTTAGTTTTCCGGCGAGCACTCGCTTGTGGACGATGTTGAACTGCATGTGAAGCTTCTTGATGGCCAGCTTCAGGCTGATCTCGTTCAAGAACAAGCCCACCGTTGCCTCCAAATCAGCCAGCATCTCCTTCAGGGCCTCCTTGCATTTGCTGGGCTCCTTGTAGTTGCCGTCAGAGGGATTCCAGAGGCATGGGTGTGTTTTGTAGATCTCTATCAACCTCCTCGAGCGAGGATCCCGTCGATAGAAGGATGGATTGAACTGATGATCAATACGGATATTAGTTTAGCTCATTTGTGTGTAATATATAAGTATACCTTGTATGTGGGCGCAGATTTTGAATCCACTTCTTCTATGGTTTCCTCTCTAGGTTTACCCTCCTGGTCGGAATCCTCGTGATCCGAAGCCTCTGAGGAACCAGACTCGGACTCCTCGGTCGCGTAAATCGATGAATCAACTGTTTCCACCTCCATATTGAACTCCTCCTCCGATTTCACATCAGTTTCCTCGGTTTTTAGGTCTTCAGTTTGTGGTTCCTTTGCGGGCTGCACCTTCTCAGGCTCCACAATGTCCTTAACCATTTCGTCCTCGTCTTTGGTGATCTTCACTTTGCTATGCATGTTCCGGATGTGCAAAACGAACTCCTGCCACTGGGCCACCTCCACATCCGTGGGGCAGTGGGAGCAGCGCATCCGGAACTTTTCGTAGTCCCCGCTCACACAAATAATGCCGCAAGTTTCCATTTTACGTTAAGAGCTAGAACAAGAACCAAAGGCGTTTGTTTATATCCCGATTAATTGTAGGGCTATGGGCGTAGTCAGAAATGGTTTAAAGGGGGTCGTGAAGGTCCTTCCTATTTTTTCCACATTTTTTTAATTGGATAACTTTTTTTTTTGGACTTGTTTTGTAATTTTATATTTGGCGGCTCAAGGTCATAGATCCATGTATTAAAAAACAGTTTTGTTTTAATTTGTTCCCAATATATTATTAAGGTAATTAAAACACATTTATTTATATAAAATTTGAATATTGAGTAAAAGGGTAACGCCTACGCCCCTGAAACTCTGTCTTATCGCCTATCGATAGCTCTGCACCTATCGATTGGCCAGTGTTTACATTTTGCTCCCCCAGCTGACAGGCGGCAAATTTTCCGTGTTGTGGTTTTTGGAGCGGCGCAGCACTTTCGATGAAAACAAGAAGATGGAGCAGCACAAAAGTCGGCTGGTTTACACCATCGGCATGCTCACGCTGTTCCTCTGCGGCGCGGTGCTCTTTCTGATCGGCTTCTTTCCGGCCTCCTATTCGGTGGCGGAGGACCAGAGCAGCGTCCCAGAAGACCGGCCCACCACATTGCACGGCGTTGAGTGAGTTCCGGAGTAGATTGTACCGTGAGATAAGCCTGCGATAACGCTCGTTAACCCATTTTTCAGACTGACGCCACCGCCACCGGCCTACGACTTCTTCATACTGTTCCTGGTCGATGCGCTGCGCGATGATTTCCCCAGTGCCACGTCTATGCCGGTGGCTCATTCCAGGGCCTGCGAGAGGCTCACCCTCCATGTGGACATACCGACGGTGACGATGCCACGCCTGAAGAGCATCACCACCGGCACCCTGTCGAACTTCATCGACATTGCCCTGAATATTGGCCACACGGAGCAGCTGCAGGACTCCTTGCTGCACCGCCTGAAAAACAGGAATAAGATCGTCTCCTTTGCCGGTGACCACACCTGGGTGCGGCTCTTCCCCAGCGAGTTCACGCGGCATGCCGAGAACCATGATTCCTTCTATGTAAACGACTTCTACGAGGGCGATCGCAATGTGACCAAGACACTGGAGACGGAGTTGCTGCTGAGCGACTGGTCTCTGCTGATCCTACACTATTTGGGACTGGATCACATTGGTCATGTCGAGGGCAGTGAGAGTCCGAGGGTGCCGCTCAAGCTAAAGGAAATGGATGAGGCGGTGCAGAAGATCTTGGATCATCCCAAGGTGAGTTAGTAAATATCTTAAGATTGAGGAAAACTATAATCCTTTTTTCAACAGAGCTTACCCAAGTATTTGCTCATGCTAACTGGGGATCATGGCATGGCCGATGGCGGAGGACATGGCGGAAATACACCAGCCGAAACAATGGTGCCCCTATATCTGTATTCCAACAATTGCAGCAAGGCCACGTAAGCCAATATAGGATTACCTATAGCCTTATCTGAATTTAATTTATGGTTTATAGATCGAACCCTAAACGCTACAACCAAATCGACATGGCGCCCACTCTTTCAGTGCTTCTGTCTGTCGAGATACCAACTCAATCCATTGGCTGCCTGATACCAGAGATGCTGCAATCGCTGTCCCTGGAACACCAGATGTACGCCTACTTCTACAATGCCCACCATTTGCTCAACAAGGCGCGCGTTAAGTTTGGCCACGACAGAGTCCATCGGAGCGGTGAGACGAAGGTCCTCCTGCGTTGATTTCTATAAATCTTTGGTTATTGATCCTTTAGATTACTACACCTGGTATCAGAATGCCACCTTGTTGCACAAGAAGCTACTGCATCCTTTGAGAGAGGGTGATGGAGGTGGAGCTAGTCAGGTTTACTACCAGAACGCCAAGCTCAATTATATGCGGGTTGCTCGGGAGATTTCCGGCCTGCTCTCCGAATCCCTGGTGAAGTTTGACTACGGATTTATAGCCCTAGGATTAGCTTTGACCACGGCGGTAAGTTATTCGTTTACCTTAAAAAGCTGTGTAATATTAAAGTGGCCTTTATCTTTCAGACATCCCTACATATTTTGCTCAGCGTCTTGTTCTTGGATCTCACCGAACAGCTTCAGCTGGACAGACTTAAGCCAGGGCAACTGTTGGTTTCTGTTATTGCGGCTGTCCTCTTAAATGTGACTAGTCATGCCTTGGATATCATCCTAACTAGTTCTACTCTCGATAGTATTCTGCTAATGGTACCCATATCCATTGCTGTTTATCTTACAATCGATGTGGCGCAGGCGCTGCTGAAGATTGCATTGCCTCCGATATACACGCGTCGCCTAAGGATCTCCATTCCGCTGCCACTACCTCTGCTAGCTTGTTTTGCTATTCGCACCTTGACCCTTGGTTCCTCTTCGTTCATTGAGTACGAATACAAGACCTGGTATTACCTGGGCAATACCCTCATCCTGCTGACAGCATTCCGAACTCTGCGACGGCGCATCACCAAAACCAATGTGGAACTGGATGGCCGCCATCTGTACACCATTGCTTCTACGTGCCTGTGGCAAATGCGCAAGGTGTTTGTCATGCTTATGCTGCTCACATTGATGCGCTACAACCACAGGCTACAGGCAATTCGGAGCACCATCGTGATATTCTCACTGCTGTTGCTTTGGGCGCGCCTGCATCGTCACAACCAATTGCCGCAGTCGGTGGCCAGCGGAGCAGCTTTGTTTATGGTTTACTGCTTTCGCGGGCTCAACGGCCAGGTGCATTTCTTCGAGGTGCCGCCGCATATCGCGTAGGTTTAAATCTGCATATATTTCCCGGACCTTAACTAATAACTCTCCCAATTTCCAGTTCAAAGCTAATGGTGCCCACGCTGGTGATCTTCTGGTGCTGCCTGGCCTTGGTTCTAGTGCTGGGCTATCGGGCGGCACTGCCGCAAACGCAAAGCTTCGGCGAGGTGCCGCCCACAAGTGTGTTGTTGCAGCTGCTCCAGACGAACCTCAGCAGCTCCCTGCTGCTGGCTGCTCTGCTGCAGAAGGTGCAGAATATTCTCCTGTTGCCCGTACTCCTCGTGGCCCTGCAGCAAACCTACAAGCTGTGCGATGTTTTCGGCACCAGTGCCCGAAAGTTCTCCGTGCGCGTGGTGCATGTGTACAAGATCATCATGACCATATTCCTGGCCAGGATGTTCTTTTTCTACCAGGGCAACTCAAACAGCTTGTCCACGATTGACCTGACGCCCGGTTACATTGGGCAAACGAGCTACAATCCCTCGATTGTGGCCCTCTTCGTTACCCTCAACACTTACAGTGCTGAGATTCATGCATTCCTCTATCTAATTGTGCACACGTTGCGCTCGGATCTGCGCAGTGTGGGCATCATGCAGCTGCAGCCGCCTTACTCCATAGCCGCAGATTCGCTGATAGCTCCGCTATATGCCGCACTCATCATGCTGCCGGCGGCGTTCTACCTCCTCCTGATGCTCGGCTTCCGCTACCACCTCTTCATCTATTCCGTCTTTTCACCCAAAGTACTCTACGACTGTTACACTGTGCTGGTGTTCTATTTGGTATTTTTAGTAACGAGTTTGTACTTTAAATTGTTTAAACATGACGCTTAAATAAGAAATAATTTAAAAACGCTTAAGCTATCACAATGTTGTGGTTAATTAACTAATAAGTGATTAATTTAAAAAGTAGGGAGGGGCAAACATAAAAATTTGATCTTGATTTTGGAAAATTTGCCTAAAAATTCTCTTTTAGTTAGCCGCCACCTCTCCAACTCGAAGTGCATAGTGAATATCATCAGCACTGACGTTGAGCAGAATTTTCTGAAAGAGATCATTACGGGAATGCTCGCTTATGATGAGTCGCTCGGCGCCCAGCTTGGCGCATAGGCGAAGGCAACGACCGGGTGGCGGTAAGGTGACACCCATGAAGGCGGCGATTGTCTCCACCTGCAGATAGACGCCCATGAAGGTCGTTTCCTCGACTCCGGTGCGCGTAACTTCCGAAGCCACCGCCTGCAGAAAGATCTGCTCCAGCCGCGAACAGTTCTTGATGGCCTGCACCTTGGCACTGGCTATCATCTCGGCCAATGCCTGCTGGACGTGCAGCATGGTCACGCACTTCACCTGAGCCGTATCGGCGACTTCTGTGGCCCGCCTACAAATGTCCAGAGCTCGTCGAGCATCACCGGATACGGCGGCCACTTTGCGAGCCACAAGCTGCACGGCCTCGCCCTTAAAAGCCTCCGAACCTCCCAGACGGGCTGTGACGATCTCCTGCAGCTGCTTGTGGCTATACGGTTGAAACGTGAGTCGGGTGAGTCCAAGACGAGAGGTGACTTTGCCTGAAAAGATATTATGGAGTTAGAGGATTGATTCTTATAAATTCTATTCCAGTTTGTACAGTAACTAGAGCCCTGTTTAATTTAATTCTATGTGAAATAAATTGAATGTTATTCTAATTCATTGCGAATTGATTGAATAATTTTTATGAATTTTTTTAATTTGACATTTTTTTTTGTGCTTTCCTTTGAGAACAAAAAGTGGAGAATTTTTAACAAATCAATGTTAACTGCATAGTAGATAAAATTCAGGAAGATTTAACCACAAAATTATGGCCCTTTCTTCTTCAAAAGAAATTGTCGTTTAAATTACTTCGGAATTCATGACATTCATTCATTCAATTCTATTAAACTCAAAATTCTAATTAATTCAATTCTATTAAACTCAAAATTCTAATTAATTCATTCATATAAAACAAACAAAAATTCAAAATAATTCATTGAATTCATTCATGCAGGGCTCTATTAGTAACACTCACCCATTAGCAGGCGCTCGGGCAAATCCATGGTGTTGGCAATGGTGACCACCACCAGTTTGGCCGCCGACTTGGTGGGCCAGTCGAGCAGGTTATAGACGACATCCTGCCGCCGGTTGCACAAGATGTCCAGCTCATCGACCAGCAGCACCGTGGTAACTCTACGCGGTGCCGGAGTCGTGAATCGTTTCTCCAGCAAGGAGTGTGCCTGCTCCCAGGAGACAGTCTTGCCCGTGAGCTGTTTGTAGATCTGCACGTAGGCCTGTCGCGGCTCCGTCAGCCGCATCCCGTTGATCTCGAGGAACTCAAAGGCGGGCAGCTCGTTCTGATTGGCCAGCCGCTGCAGGGTGCGAATGACTCCGGTCACAGTGGCCGTTTTGCCAGTGCCCGGAACTCCGGACACGTACATGCAGCCGCCGCACTGGTCCTGGATCTTGCCCTCCAGGAAGGCGTAAATGTTCTCGAACTCCCGTTCGCGGCAGGGCAGACTCTTCGGCACCACAGACACGTGAAGCTGTTCGCGAGCCAGCTGCAGTTCCGATTTGCTGGAGTCCTTTGCCGGTCGATCGGTGCGCTGCTGCATGCTGGGACTTATTTCGCCGGCCCGGATCTTCTTCATCTTCTGCGAGGGCGTCATCGGGGTTGCCTTGCTGGGAGTCGCTTTGCTGGGAGTGGTTGCTAGTTTGGTTGTGGTGCTCGAACGACGCGATCGCGTGGGCGTCTTTTGAACCGACTTCTTTGGCGAATAGTCCTCGTCCTCGTCCTGAACGGTCTTCTTGGCCCGTCCTCTCTTTGGGGTGGATATAATTTCATCGTCCTTGAACACACGCTGCTCCACAATGTTGGACAGATGAATACTGCGTCTGGGCGTGCCTTCAGCTAAATGAGGAAATAAAATTCTTAGCTAAATATCCTTAATTAGCGTATTATTATATTTAACTCACCCAATCGACTGGTGGCTGATTTTAGGATACTTTTACGCCTTGTCGAGGGCGTCTTTTCGTTGCCTGCAGCTTGTTCCAGTGGCTCCTTGGATTTCTTGGTGGGCGTCTGGTAGATATCGCCATTGGTTACGCCCAGTCGCTTGCGTCCCTGGGTGCTGGGTGCTTCAAGGGGTTCCTCGAGCGACAGAGGATCTGCATCCAAGGAGGCCAGGCGCACCGAACGCCTTCTCTCCGAGAGGCGCAGCTTGATCTTCATGTCATTGGACGGCGTCTTGGGATCGGGCGTCTGCTGGACAATCGAGTAGTTCAGGCAGTCCGAGTCCGCTGTGCTATCCGCTCCGCGATCCAGGCTGAGATTAAGGTTGCGGCGAGCGGCCGAAGCCCGGGATTTCGGAGTCTCCACCTTGGCGTTCTTCTCGGTGAGCGGCGAAGCCGGCAGATAGTTGGCATTGATTTCGGGGGCGGCCGTCTTCTTCTTCTCCGACAGCCGCACCACGCTGCGTCCGCCCACGATCTTGATGGGCGACACCTTGTTCTCGCAATTGAAGTAGCTGACATCGACGAACTCCACGGAACTGGCGGCCGCCATGGAGGCACGTCGTCGCTTCTCCACAGTGCCGGCTCCTTCTTCGCCTGCAACTGCTTCATTCTTGCGGGCGGAGGCCGATCGCTTGGATTCCTTGTGGGCAGTTAGTGACTTCCGCGATGCACGTGGCTTCTCCTCCGGCTGCTCCAGGTGGATTTCCAGTGGAATCAAGCGGTAGCTCCGCTTCACCTTGACGAACCTGTAGCGGCTGACGAACATCGGGCAGGCGGTGGACTTCAGCTTGTGGCTGGAGTTGGAGTGGCGGCTGAGGATCTCCTGGGCGGAGGACTGAGTGCTGCCCTCCAGGACGATGCACTTGCGGTAGATGGCGCCGAGGGCCACGTCGTTGTCGTAGGGGCGATGCTCCTCGATCACCTCCAGGCTAAAGTCGATGGCCACGTCGTCGTCGTCGAATTTCTGGTGGGGAATGGCCCTGGGCCAGGAGTACCACTGGACGATGGCGCGGCACGTTTCGCGATCGGTCACCTCGCGCAGCTCGTACATGTGCAGGATCCGGGCGACGTCGCATCCGCTCACTGTGTCCGGTTCCGGTGCGTCCGCATTGGACACCAGTATGAAGTCGCCGACGGTCAGGGTCAGCGGTCCGTAGATGCACTTCTGGTAGAAGTAGACGTTCTTGTGCTCCAGACTCTTCACTGCTGGCTGCTGCTGGGCTTCGTGCGCTCCGATCCACTTCACCTGCTGTCCCACAATGCGGGAGTTCTCTTTGTTAGCCATCGCACTGCGATTCGCTATCAGTTATTTGACAATTCGCCGACGTCAGCAGTAATTTAATTGGGTTTTTGTGGCACTGCGACTCGCTCCTCCCTTTTTTTCGATCAGCTTGCCGCGCTGTTTACCGTTTTTGGCGCAATTCCACCAACGGCGTTTTACAACACCGGAAATAACAGCGAGAGGGCTGCCAACTCATTTTTGCGCGCCAAGAAGGTTGCCACATGGTGTAAATTTGATCAGTTTGAATTTGAAAGAAACCGTTAAATTGAAAAAAAGGTTTATTTATTAATACAGTAGGATTTCCCTATGACTAATGTTTCTTCTCGGGACTTCTTGGCTTCAGCGAATCAAAATGGTTTTAAAACATCCCAGAAGACCTAAACAGGGTGTCTAAATTTCATTATTCGATCTTTTTTAGGCTCATTTCTATTTAGATAAGCCTTATCCTAAACCAAAATCCAGACCTCGATCAGCCCCCATGCAATGATAGTTCATGGTTTTTATTTGTGAATAAGAGTAGAGTATAATGTTGGGTACGTAATGAGTACAAACATCAAGCAATTGAATCAAACATTTTGCATCGCATGCATAACAATTTTGTATATAGTATGTATAACATTTATTTTGTAATCCGCTTCTGCTTGGGTTCTTGTACGTAATCGAAAATCATTAAAGAAGCATGTCCGAATCTCGATTCCGGCTTATAATGTGATGTGATGTAATTGCGGGTGACTTTGCAAAAGTATAATCATGGGTTTGTTTGGGGTTTTTGCTTACAAATAAAATAAATCACAATCTATATGTACATAATACTAAAATTGCTTAAAACGCTAAATCAATGAAACGAGGAGTTCTCCGTCTGCAGTCCAAAAAATTAAGGTTACAAAACAATGGCCGGCTACAAAATAAGCACATTTTAGAATCCGCTTCGAGAGTGTTGCAGGTTGCAGTGTTTTGTCGGGTGTTTCTTTCTGAATACAGCTAAAAGATATCCATATTGAATGAGTTAATGCCTTGATGGGCAGCCATCTCTTGGCTCCCTTCCTTCCTTTCTTCTGCCCCCTGGTAAATAGCCTACTCTATGTCGTGGAAGCGGAGGATGGCTCGTCCGGGTATCTCGGAGTTGCACAGCTTTGTGATGACCTCGGCCGCCTGTTCGCAGGGGAACACGGAGTGCGGCGGCGGCTCGATCTTCTTGTTGGCCACCAGCTCCACCACCTCCGCCAGCTGCTCGGCGGTGCCGTTCGAGATGGCGATGATCTCCTGCTGGTACTGCTCCGACAGCCGCGAGAACTTGGGCAGCAGCTTCTCGGCCACCTCGTCGCTGATCAGGACCACGCCGCCCTTGGACAGGCAGTGCATCGAGCGGTGCAGGCTCCTCGAGGTTGTGCCGAAGTCAATCACCACGTCCACGGCTCCGCCGCACACGTCCTTGGTGCGCTCGATGAGCTGCGGCTCGTAGAGGCATTCGTTCCACTGCACCACGCTGACGCTGAAAGGAGGAAAACAACATGGTTAGTACACTGCGGTAAAAGATTGGCACCAAACAAAGGGGAAAAAAAATAATAATAATCATCAATCAAATTTTAAGTGAGAAACGTTAAGAAAAAAATCGATATGAAACGTAGATCGATTTAACATTACTTAAGATCAATTTTAATTAGATATGTGGCCAAGTAAATTTGAGTATTTCATGTAAAAACGATTTGGGTTTAGCATGACCTGTAATTTTCATGGCCATATCGATTTTACGGAAAATTCTTTTTGTGTACCTATATAATAAATTACAAATATATAGATCCTAATTACAAATTATAGATTTATAATCTAAAATGTAGCTAAATCCTTTAGAGATATTGACATTACATTTGTACATTTAAGATTGTTTATCAATAGGTATTGCGTTTAAATTTAAATTGGTCAATGATTGATTATAAAAAGTAATTTATATTTATTACGGTACTAAAATGTACTTGCTAAACTGCCAACTAATCAAGTTTAAGCTATTTTAATGCCTGATTTTAAACAGATTAAATGAATAATGATTAAATTGGTCAACGCTATTGGGTACTGCTTTTCTAAATTTAGATTTTAAAGCGATTTAGATTTAAGCGATACAAATTTAAGTCACCCAAAATAATATTAAATTAATAGATTAACAATAGATTTATGATTGGTTATTTTTAAAAATGTTTATAATTTCCCTGACCATTTTACTTACTTTTTGATCTCCGTGGCCAGGCGGAAGCCCTCGTCCCTGAGACTGGCCACTGTGATGTCCACGTTGTCGGCTCCGGTTGTGGCAAAGTGATAGGAGGCAATGCGCACGGCCCAGAGCGCCAGTCCTCCGGTGCCCACGATCAGGATCTTGGGCTTTCGCTTCGGCTCCGTGGCGGCCCGCTGGCTGAGGATCTGTGTGACCACCGCCTGGGCCTTGAAGACGGCGTTCCAGGCGAGCAGGGCGCCCGTGGGCAGCATGGCGGCCACCTCCATGGGCAGGCTGTCGGGGATCGGGACCACGTACTTCAGATCCGGCACCACCAGCAGCTCGGCATAACCGGCCGGGGTCTCGTCGAACGGATAGACGATGACCCGCTGGCCGATGCGCAGGCCACGATTGTTCGCCTCGGTGATCTCCGAGCCCAGGGACTCGATCACGCCGGCCACCTCGAAGCCGGGGAAGAAGGAGCCCTCCCGGATGCCCTGGTGGGCGGGCGAGGACATCGAGTTGACCGACGGACAGTAGTCGCTCAGCTCCGAGGACACCGACGACATGCTGGTTATGGAGTTCGAACGATCGCGTCGACGGTAGCAGGCTCCGGCGCACACGATCCGGATGCGGGCGCCCAGCGCCGGCGTGTCCTCGATGGGCACGAAGAAGTTGAAGACGCAGTTCTTGGCCCCCGGGCCGGGCGACTCAATTGACACTTGGCGGCACAGCTTGTTCATGTTGTGCGGATTGTGTGAGTTGTGATGATCGGGATCCGTTGGCGGCAGAGCGGAAGTCAGGGACAGCGAGTTCAACGACAACGAGGTATCTGTTGTTCCACTGCAAGCGCACAAAGGAATGGATAATATACATTAGAGGTGTTCTATTTAGCGGACTAAAAATAATTATGTATGTATTAAATATTATGTGGTCAATAAACTCTGATTTTTCTTCGCTTTATCCAAGAATATATAAGTGGACTATAAAAATATTAAGTTTTCCTAAAGATCTTTTAAAAAAGTTTTAAGTTTTTTCAAAATGTAATTCTATTTCTTGTCGATTTTGTATGTATTAAATATAATGTGGTCAATAAACTCTGATTTTTCTTCGCTTTATCCAAGAATATATAAGTGGACTATAAAAAATACAAAGTTCACCTAAAGATCTTTTAAAAAAAGTTTAAGTTTTTTTCAAAATGTAATTCTATTTCTTGGCTATTTTGTATGTATTAAATATGATGCGGTTAATTAACTCTGATTTTCCTTTGCTTTATCCAAGAATATATAGGTAGACTATAAAAATACAAAGTTCACCTGAAGATCTTTTAAAAAAGTTTAAGTTTTTTTCAAAATGTAATTCTATTTCTTGGCCATCTCCATTGATTGTTTGATTACGTCCGTATGTAATACATATCCGAGGTCGTTTTCGGCACTTCTCAATCACTTCAATGCCACAACTTGATATGCGAGTTCTATTTCGTATTCTACGGTCGCTTTTCCTATATACAACCACTTCTAATGATAATCTTGATTTTCAATGCCAACAGCAATTCAGAATTTTTTCATGTAAATATTGTTGTTCTAGCCACTTTTTTGTGTGGTGTAATTACAATATATACAGTGTAAGTACACATATCTCAAAGGTCAAGTGGCTAGATTTTGGTAAATACAGATATATGCCGGATTTATTGACAATTCGACACAGCAATCACCAATCACCATCTGCTACGGATCATTCACTTCAATGAGGTGACAAAAGCCTTAATTAACAGATAACTATTATCGCTAAAATCGGACATTAGATTTGGTTAATATACGAGAAAAGCTGGCAATTTATGGGTCATACACTTTGGTAGATAAAATGCGTGGGCCAATATCTATATAAGTCTGGTCTGCTGTCTGGCTTTTCTATTAGTGCATATTGCAGACCGATAAGGACTGTTGACGAAATCAGTGGATCACTCTATTCAAAGTTCACTTCACTCGAATCAATAAAAATATGTACCACTTTTAAAAATAATTATTTAAACAAAATTACAATAAAATATTTTTGTATAATTTTAACCACGGTATGATGAATAATATGTTTATCCTACTAATTGAATCTTATGGAAGTTTACTTAATGAAATTCGTATTCTTTCAAGCGAACCCTGAATCGTTTGTTTAAAATATTTCTTACATCTAACGTTTACAACTTTTAATTGAAAAAAGAATGCATTTAACTGCATTTAACATTAACTCAAGGTAAAAAAAATTGTAAAAAAAATGTTTCTCCCTATAAAGTTCAATGTAATTGAAAAATGCAATTACAGGAATGGAAAAATTCAATCACAGTTTAATAGTTTACCTCCTTGAACTGAGCAAATTGTGTTGTTGACTGCATATATCGACCGGCATTTTGGTGTCTTTGGTTACTCTTCTCTCAATTTTCTTTTCCTTTTATTATCTTTTACTGTTTTTTTTTATTGCACTGGGGGTAAACTGGTTAACACTTTTACTGGTGAATTGGCTAGATTTTTCTCTTAGCTGCACTCGCTTCGGCTAATTTTCTCACGTGTTGACCAGCGCACTTCCAAAGAACATCTGAAACGTTTTCAGTCGATGCGCCAGCTAAAAAGCAAAAAAGCCGGTGACGAAATGGAACGAGTGGAACTCTCACACAGGCACACGCACACAGCACGCACATGGGCGTCCTAAAGGGGGTAGACTACCCTATTTAAATATGTACCAAATATCTACCATCATTTTAAACAATAATGTTTTTAATACAGAAATTATGCATTGAAATAAGGTTCTTAAAAAATAAAATTAAAAATTACTTTTGGAGTATTATTCTTATCCTTCGATCTCTAAGAATATATTTGAATAATATACTTTTTTAGGGGGCAAATTAAAATACATTAAATAATAAATACACCTTTGAATAAATAAGTCCCGGAGTTTTGAATACTTTACTGATTCGGATTCTGTATATTTTTGAAAACTTTAAAACCCCTTAAAATTTAAAATGAAATAAATAACACACCACTGACTGAGCACATACACAGCACGCAGGGAATGCGTGAAACATTTGAAATGAGTTTATTCATTCGTGCGGATTGCATGGCCGTTTTCGCATCTATAGAAATGCATTTCAATATTTTGTGAATTAAGAACATTTCATACTTATTTTTAGCTAGCCATTTGGCTTACACTACTGGACAATGCAAAAAAATAGGTAGATAACTATTATGATATATAAGTTCAATGTCAACGAACTTTGTTTTTATCTTTCCATTAAAAGTGGGTTAAAAACAGATTACTTGGTAGTTTATACATATGTATCTTCATATAAATCATTTATAATGAATGTAACATATTTTTCATTAAAAAATCCAGTTTTCTATCAGTGTATGAGAACGAGATTGTTGTTTATCTTTTGTTTACACATTCGAATTAACACTGAGGACGCAGTAGTCGAGAGAAAAACAAACACACCAAAAGCAGGGGCAATCATAACAATTTAATAAAGAACAACAAATGCATTTGGCCAACGCGTGCGACAGATTTATGGCCAAAACAAAGTTCAGGAGCTGGTCGAAAACCCTCTCCAAGAACGGAAACAACCTAGATTTCGTTGCCAGGCGGCCGTCAAAATTGTTTATAGAACTTTCGATGACAAAATGTTTTTCTAACGATGCTGTGGGTGATTTCAGGAGGAGGATGCCCCATTAGTCACGTCGGAGATTCGGATTCTCGGCGGGTGGCAACAGATCATAACAATCAAACTGATAGTTTCGAATTGATAATTGAGAATATAGAATGTAGAATTATTTACAATTAAAATGTGTCGTGTGTCCTCGATTTGAAAGCAATATAAACAAACAACTTATGGCGCTCCCCATACATATGTATTTAGATACCATAGACGGTGAATCTTTTATAGAACGAACGTTCTATAAGATAGGGAATGTAAGCATTTTACTGAAACAACTTCAGTTTATACTTAACAATTTTTACTATAACGAAAACATTAAAAATATTCTACAAATTGTTGGTTGTAACTATGAAAGTACCACTGTATTCCGGCAGAGTGCAGTGCATCAAACTGAGAGCGTGCTGTATCTATGTATCTCTATCTGTTTGCGATTGCTTGTTGTTTGTGTTTGTGGACCGAGGAACGGTGGATGTTTGTATGGTAATGAAACGTTGAGAGAAGGGGGAGGAGGGTGAGGAGGAGGGGGAGGTAGAAAACTCAAACAAAACCAAAGTCATGTACACGTGCTCGGTGCATGATAATCACGCACTGGCCGAGTGGCATTGCTCTCTCTCTCCAAAGAGAGAGCCAGCTGACGCAGCTTTGTTTTTGTTTTATTATCTCGCTCTCTCTTTCTGACACTCTCACTCTCTCCTTCGAACGGACTAACAAATGCAGAGATAGAATATCTGAATCTCTGAGATAGAGATTCTTTGTTTGGTGCGTGGGCCTTTGTTGTTGTTCTTTCTTTATTCCACACAACAACAATGCGTAAATAAAGCGCTATAAATACGCCTTACATTTACGCAGTTACATTTTACACATTCGCATCCTGACACCAAAAATGTATCTCTGCTTTTTTCGGGTTCAATCAACAGCCTCCAACTTAAGCACTCAGAAACAAATTGTTATTTTTCAAATCGGTTCATCTTCCTTTAAAAATGTCGAATGGAATTACCATATTTAAATTGGATTCATTACTATCAAAGTGTATCTTTTTCTACAATTGTACACATACGAGAGTATTTTAAAAATTAAACATCTTCAAAAATTGCATTTGAACAACAACATTTTTTTGGAAAAATTTGAAAAAAGGACGAAAAACTTTTAAAGTTTTTCTGCAAGTAAGAACTGTCGGTTTAACTGAAATCATGCAAGAAAAGTACTCAAAAGGAACTTTATTTCGAAACGTTAAATGAAAGTGTTCCCAATAACTAAAATAAATAATGATTTAATGTAAATACATACATTTATACATATGTTAAAAAGTTATTGGAACATCGGGGCGAAGGCAAAAGCGAAAGTGCCATAAAAATTCGATAAGCGAAATTCGCATAAGCAATAATTAAAAACAATATGTCTTCAATTAAAAGCTGGGACTCGGACCTCGTCTCTTGGCCAATTAAAATCTGTCCCCAAAGACATATCCCCCGATCTCCTCATCGCGATCAAAAGATCAGCAATCGAGCAAAATATTTACTGAATTATTTATTTATTTATTTGTTATTGCCGTGGCGCTGCGCTTGAATTAAAAACATTTGTTGGTCAATTCCAGTCAATTGTATTTAATGACGGAATCAATCAAGTCTAATGATGGATTGGAAATGCAAATTTTGTGGGGTTGTCGCGCCAAAAAATGTGGACCACTGTTGTTTTCCTATCCCGGATTGGAAAATGTAAGCAATTATGCAGCAATGAGACATTAAATTTTATTGCAATTGTTGTCGGCCAACCGGAGTGAACTCTGTGTGAAAAAATGAATGCAGGAGCAGGGCAAATGGGGCTATTTTTAGAACCTTTGTGTGAATACGATTAACAGTTAATTCCCTGGATCGGACTTTGTTTTTCTTATTTTTTCCTTGTTCTCAGCCGCACACGATTGGTACTAATTTACAGCGCCTGATTGTGTCTTAATGGGCTAAATAATATTTGAAGCATGTTGGAGTAAATATAACTATAAATTTATACACGCCACACCCAGATTTCCTTTTAGTCTAAACTCGATTATGTCAAGTCATCAATCAAACTTGTGAGAACAATTTGGAAGTTTAATCCATTAAAATGGTATGTACAAGGGATACACAAAAATTATGTTATTGGATTAAGATGAAGTCCACATTAGTGTTATGACGCTATTCGCAAGTGTTTATTGCCAAGTCAAATCTCCAGGTGCTGATAAGTCAGTGTTCCACGATACAGGAGCCTATATTCTGATACTTGTGAAGACACAAACAAACTCAATGATTTACGGGGCCACTTAACTGAGTTTTGGATTGGCCCCTATAAGAGTTGTTTACCCTCGGGGCTCTACGGTACGCATGGATTGAGATCCAAGGGCATTGAAAATGGGAAAAACCTTTTTCAAAACATATTTTCGTGTGTATGTCCCATTTAAATCCGAGTTCTGAAACTACGCTCAAGAAATGTGGAATACCGGAAAGAAAAGGATGTCTACCCCAGAAAGGAAGTTGTTTCGAAGAAAATGGCAACCTGCACGTACACCACTCCAGGATGCCAATTGCGTAATATGGATTTGTTCGCGACTTACCCTGGTAAAAAAGTTAAAAGCTTAGTGTATCAAAAACACTCTCGCCGTCACTTATCAATCTATGTTTAAATAATTGTTAACTTTAATAGTGCTTGTTCAAAACGCCTGGACAGCGCTGTAACTTTTGTAAAACTCTTTACACTGCCTGTCGACTGTTTTTATTTGAGGAGCACCGCAGCCGCACGGCGTACAGCAGGATACGTTTGACTTTGAAGTCTCCTTTGCCGAGTGTGAAATAAAGGCAGGGTTTAAGTGTAAATACAAGACCTGAGTCTGCGCAGTCTTTGTTGATAGAAAGAAAGGTGTTTCTTTGTTCTAAAAGAACCAGTTCGTTTCAGCAGCATACTTAAGAGATGTAATTTATTTTGATGAAACTATTTTTTCCTATGGATTTTGTTCTTACATTTTGATTTATTTATGTTGTTTATTTAACTGTTTTTCTGCATTTTCAAATGGGCGCCCTAATAAATAAGGCATTTTCTAACACTGGTCTTAGTGCACCCAAAAGTATATAATACTTTTTCCGTATCGATAGGAAAATAGTGGTTCTCCACTTGATTTGGCGTTTTGCCTTATTTCTGTCTATCGAACTAGCTAGTTAACTAAATTGATTAGCCAAACTTTTAAGCTATGATTGATGTTGCTTAATTTTTAGTTCCCCACATCCATAAATTAACATTATTTTATTAAACTAGAATTAGAAAGTTAAATGGAGCGACAAAAGTAGTTTACAAGCAATATTTTTAAGCCATTTATAAAAGCATTTGCACCTCTTCTAAGCTATACCGAAAAGGTAGAAAAATCATACAAATTCTGTTTATATCACTAATTGTCTTATATTTTCATAAATTTTGCCAAAAGAAGTTAATATTAACTACCTTTAAAATTAAAAGTTTAAAGTGTTAAAAGTGTTAAACGCAGTGGAAACGCCTTGTAGGGTGACCATGCCCCGCCAGTATGACCGCATCCCAGCCAATAGGTGTGGAAAACATTGTCATCTGACAACCCTGGCGAGGCTGGACAACCGATTGTTTCCGTGACACAAATCAAAAGCGCAGCAGAAATCAACAAGTGATCACCATGTCGAGCGAGGGAACCAAGACTTTCACGCGGGCCGAGGTCGCCAAGCACAACACGAACAAGGACACCTGGCTGCTCATCCACAACAGCATCTACGACGTCACCGCCTTCCTGAACGAGGTGAGAATCGCGTGGAACGCGTCGTAGTTGAGGGCCCCCCGCCGCCGCCGCCCATGCACCTGCCGAATGGGGGTCATCGGGGTGTTATTAGGCGTTATCTGGGTTCCACTACGCTTTCATTCCGATGAGCTAATGGCGTCGATAGGGCCGAACCCCTAAGCCCACGTAGACACATGTGTGCCCGGAATTCCAGTGTACCGACTTTGTGTGCGTGTGAGAAATCCAGCTGGGTAATTAGACCTGTACTTTGACCCCGGGCAGCGGTTGACCTGCGTCCGGATTTCGTAGATTCGCCAGCGACGTCGAAACTTTCGCCTGACGAAACTCCCCGAGTTTTGAAAGAGCTCCACGCTCCACATGGCGAAACTATCCATTTGCATACCCATCTGCATATGTGTGTGTGAGTGCGACGGGGGTCAAGTGTTAGGCGAAATCCGCATTTGCATCTCATTTGATTTATGGGTTCGCATTTGAATTTGGATTTATATTCTTATGCAAGTGCACCGAACCGACTGCCGGTTCCGAAAGATGGTTCACCCTGACGCAGCACTACCCATGTGCATGCTATCTGTAGGATCCGACTACTCTTATAAGATAAGCTCCGCGAAAACGACGTTCTAACGATGACGTTGCACTTTGTGTACCTCAAAATAACAATAGTGAGGGTGACCAACCATTAATAATTCCATTCCAAAGTTTCCAGTCCATGTTTTAAACATGTATGTACCTAATCTGATCTGCTTTGCACTCTGCCTTTATTTTGGAGTGCCTATATCTGCACATCTACGTACAGCATCTCCAGACAAATAGCAAATTAGACTTTCAGATTCAAAGGTCTTCGCTGTGTCTGGAGTTCTTAAAGGGTAACTCAATATAACTAGGTAATGGTGAAAATTACTATTTTTGCCCGTCATAGGATCGTTATCAAAACAGCAGCTTTATCGTTCTTTAAAATAAATGTTAGTAGCGAACTAATATGAAAAGGCAATCCTTCAAAATATGGTGAAAATTCTTGCTGCGACTTATCAGCTCTGATAATACATAACCTTAATAGAACTTGTTAATCGTTTAGAATATGTTAGCGGCATATCATAAATTTAACGTTTGTAACGAGTCATAATTTAAATATTTTTCAAGATAAACATTGTATGCTTTTAAAGTAAGATAAAAAGTGACTTGGCTTATCATTTAGCCGTAATTAAAATAAGAGCTCTATTTAAGGTGTAACAACTTGTTTGCCTCTTGACAACAATTAATAACAATAATTACATCATACTTGACTCACGGCAGTTAAATATGACTTTAAGATATAGTACAAAGTTCCATCAAAATGTATTATACAAAGTTATGTATCACAAACATATATAAACAGCCGAAATTTTATGACTCAACCCCTGTAACTTACCATTTCGGTTAGTTTTTTTTAAATTTTATTAGTTTTATCACTAAGTTCTCGATAGTTGGAATTAGTTTATTTTATTTACAGTATTTTTATCCAGTAAATATATTTTATTTTAGCACAGAATGCTTGCCCCTTTATTATTCCTACTTTTAACAAACGTGACGAACATGTAAACTATGGTAAACGGATGTTACGAAAGAGTATTCCAGACTTCGCACCTGGAAACGATCCCCACCGCCTGTCGATCCATTATATTCAGGGTCAGACGCCCATTACCATTTTCTCAAAAACCATCCACCACTTATTTATGCGAATATTTATCTTGAATTTGCTTTCGTTCCTCCCCAGCATCCCGGTGGCGAAGAGGTGCTCATCGAGCAGGCCGGCAAGGATGCCACGGAGAACTTCGAGGACGTTGGCCACAGCAACGATGCCCGCGACATGATGAAGAAGTACAAAATCGGCGAGCTGGTCGAGAGCGAAAGGACCAGCGTGGCCCAGAAGTCGGAGCCCACCTGGAGCACGGAGCAGCAGGGCGAGGAGAGCTCGGTGAAGCAGTGGCTGGTGCCCCTGGTGCTCTGCCTGGTGGCCACGCTCTTCTACAAGTTCTTCTTTGGCGGTGCCAAGCAGTAGTAGTCCTGTCCCCCAGTGCCCAGCAGAGACTTTCCCACCCGCTCCGGAGTCACTAAGTTAATCTATGTAAGCTCAAAAGTCAAGGATTAGGAGCAGGAGGAGGTGCAGTGGGCCAGCGGAGCGGGAACGATTTTTATAGTAAATTTTGTGCTAAGTTTTAATGTTAATTTTGGCATTTGGCATTTTTGTACACCCCTCTACACATGTAATTCCTTCAGACGGCGGGTCTAGACTTTAAAGTTATGTTTCCCATTGATATTCCAACATTTGAGGCACAAAACGCGACAACGGAACGTTTTAATTCACATGTATGTACATTAAACATATTTCCAAAAGAAAAGAAGCCCGTCGAAATTGTCAGTTTTTTGTAGAGCATTAAAATATTGTCTCCCCATAGAGATAAAGTCAAAATTGAGTGTCGCACCATGGCCAAGATCCTTCAGATGGCGCTGATGCTGGGCAGCTCCAAGCTGGGCCACGGCGCCTTCGGCTTCGATGATTCGTCGCCGGTGCCGCAAATGAAGCGGGAGCTGCCCACGCGGAAGATGTGCCTGGAGGCCTTCAAGCGCACCCAGTACGACATTCTCATCGTTGGCGGCGGTGCCGTGGGCTCTGGCTGTGCCCTGGATGCCGCCACGCGGGGCTTGAAGACGGCTCTCGTGGAGGCCAACGACTTTGGCAGCGGCACTTCTTCCAAGTCAAGCAAGCTGCTGCACGGCGGCCTCAGGGATCTGGAGCAGGCCATCTCAAGGCTCGATGTGGCCGCATTTCGAAGGGTTCGCTGCTCCCTGCAGGAGCGCAGTCTCATTGGCAACCTGGCGCCGCATCTCAGCCAGTCGGTGCCCATCCTCCTGCCCGTTCACCACTGGTGGGAGGCGCCGCTCTACTACCTGAAGTTGAAGATCTACCATTTGATGGCTCCCAAGGGCACCAAGAGCTTCCAGTATTTGAGTGTCGACGAGGCCTTGGAGGTTTTTCCCATGCTGCGGCAGCGAGAGCTCTTCGGCGCCTTCTGTCTTTTACGAAGGACAGCACGATGATGCCAGGATGTGCCTCTCGGTGGCTTTGACAGCTGCTCGTTATGGAGCAGATATCTGTAATCACATGAAGGTCCTGCGGCTGATTAAGAACAAGGAGGGCAACGTGGCGGGCGCAGAGGCGGTGGATCAGTTGACGGGGAAAAAGTACAGCATTCGGGCAAAGGTGGTGGTCAATGCCACGGGCCACATGAGCGACAGCCTCCGGCGGATGGAAGATACGGAGGCCAAGCCTCTGTGCACGCGCAGCTGGTCCTCGATCATCGTTCTGCCGCGCTTCTACTGTCCCGAGGATGTGGGCGTCTTTGATCCGCACACGCCGAATGGGAGGTCTATATTCTTCCTCCCCTGGCAAAATCACACTCTAGTCGGTTCCAGCGATGAGCCTAGCATGTCCAATCCCGGCCAGGAATCGCATCCCACGGAGACGGATGTCCAGAGTCTGCTAGACGGCATCAAACACTTTGTGTCGCCCAATTTCGATGTGCGTCGGTGCGATGTGCTGGCCGTTTGGGGTGGCTACAAGCCACTTCCCGTGCAAACCGACTCCCTGCATCACACGCTGCTCAAGAACCATGTAATCCAACTAGGACCGAGGAACATGATCTCCATTGTGGGCGGCACTTGGTCTTCCTTTCGAGCGCTGTCCGAGAAAACCGTGAATGCGGCCATCCGCTATGGAGATCTCTCGCCGCTGCGAAGGAATTCAGTAACCGCAGAGTCGTGTAAATTGGACGGCGCGAGTGGCTGGAGCCCCAAGATGTTCATACGGCTGGTGCAGGACTTTGGCATGGAGCGCGATGTGGCCGAACACCTGTCTAGAACGTACGGATCGAATGCTTTTAAGGTGGCCGTGAATGCGGACAGCAGTGGGAAGAACTGGCCCATTCTCGGCAAGCGGCTGCACTCGGAGTTCCCTACATCGAAGCGGAGGTGAAGCAGGGCGTGCGGGACTTTGCCTGCACCCTGGAGGACATGGTGGCCCGTCGGCTGAGAGTAGCCTTCCTAAATGTCCAGGTGGCCGAGGAGATTCTACCGCAGGTGGCCAGCATTATGGCCAAGGAGCTGCGATGGTCGCGGGAGCAAACAAAGAGGCAGATCCGCGAAACGCGCGCTTTTCTGCACACCCAGATGGGCCAGTTGACCAACGAGACTGCCTCACAGATGAACATACCCATCAAGATGTCTGTGCGACAGGTGCGCCGGTTTGCCGGGCAATTCAGGCAGCTGGATGAGAAGAAAACGGGTTACGTGTCGATTGCAAACTGCTGCAAGGCCATGAAAACCATGGGCGTGAAGGAGGTGCCCGTCGACCTGATGCACAACGTCCTGCGGGACATCGATGTGCATGCCCAGGGCAAGGTGAACCTGTACGAGTTCCTGCTGCTCATGTCGGCCATTGTGCAGGGCGACACCGAGTATCTGCGCTACGCCCGCCTCTACTTGGATCACAAAAAACAGATGCAGGCCACAACAGCAACATTCCCTTCGTGGTGCAAATGGAGCGGGCCGGTGGCGGTCTTTAAAGTGTATCTTTCGAAATCAGAATCCATTGAGCGTCTCGACATTACACGTAGAGGCAGGAATCGCTGCCTCAACTCAAATTTATTTCACGCACAAACTGGGGGGAAAGGAAACTTACAAACGGACGGGTAGGGTAGGGCTACTCCTTGGGCTTCTCCTTCGGCTCGTAGGGCTTCATCAGGTTCTCGGAGAAGGAGCGGATGCTCTCCGGACCGCGCACCTCCTTCTCGAGCAGCGGCAACTTGGTGACATGGAAGTCCTCGTAGAGGTCGGCAATCTGGTCTAGGTACTTCTCCTGGATCTTGAAGCGGGAGGCGCACATGCTGCACGAGTCGTGCGAGTTCTGCAGGAACAGCAGCTGATTCACAATGATGTTGTGCACGTCGATGCCGCACTTGGTCAGCTCCTGGACCAGCCGCTCCGTCTCGTAGAGCGAAAAGAACTCGGCTATGCAGACGCAGACGAAGGTGGTTTGATCCTGTTGGTGTTTAAATTGGTGATTAGAAGTTGTGGGGATTATAAACCTACATTTTACTTACTGGATTCTTGAACTGCTCGTTGACCTGGGTGATCACGCGCAGCATGTCGTCCAGCTTCTGGGAGAGCGTGTCCGCATTCACATCCGCCATGCCCAGCATGGAGACGAACTGTGTTAGAAGCGGCGCCACCTTCATCTTGAGCCGCAGCAGCTTGCCCAGACCCTTCTCCACCACCTGGGGGAAGGCGATCAGGCGCAGCGTGTGCCCCGTGGGCGCCGTATCGAATACCACCACCGAGAAGTTCATGCCCTTGACCAGCTTCATCACCTCCGCGTAGCTCATCGCCTCATCGATGCCCGGCAGCGCATTGATCATCTCCTGCATGACGCCCTTGCTCACGCGCAGCGCCTCGTTGTCGCCCTCGAAATATTCCTCGGGCAGCTCGTTGAGTCCGGCATTTGGGTCGATTTCCATGGCGAACAGGTTGTCGAAGCCATTGACCTGGGGGCAGAATAGGAATGGGGTTTAATTAAATCAATTTAATGGTAATCATATTTAAATGACTTGCAGTTGGCTTTAAATTTGTGGAGCTTTTGATTATAAACAATTTAATACACTAAATATTAAAGGAATTTAAATGTTACCCCATATGATATGATATGGGCACTTCCAAAATGTCGCTCGGGACATTTGCACACCTTTAAAGTTGAAAAAAAAATTGTAAAACAATGGATTTTAATTATGGGCTTTTCTTTTCACTCTTCCCAAGCTCAATTTTTGGTAAAAATCTTGATTTTGTACCACTTTTAGTTTTTAAGATATCGGTAAAAAACTGCCGTATTCGCTCGGGACAAAAATAGAAGTGGATTTCAGGGAAGTTCATACAACACCAGAAATTAGCGAATTCTGATGGAATATTTGAATGCGATTTTTTAGAATGTTGTTCAAACATGTCGCTGTGAAATGCTTTTGGTTTCACTCAAAAATTCTTTGCCGTTTTTTTTTATGCAGTTTCAACCACATTCGCTCGGGACATGTCGCTCGGGACATTTTTCCGACTGTTTTGTAAAGCGGATTTCTTTACCTCTATCTCTCAATTGCTGGATGTTTTGCTTTTAACTTAATAGTTTAGCATGTGAATGACGCATTCAGTACAGAAAAATGTCACATATTAGCATTCCTATAGGATAAATTTACAACAGAAGACAGGTCCAAAAAATAACAAAAAATAGCCAAAAACTGATTTTTGCGTATATTGGTGGGGTTTGTCATAAAACTAATCAAACTATACTCCAAATTTGTAGTTAAGCTCAGTATCCAACTAATTGGAAACTAATATCGGGGCAAAATCATGTAGAAATATGTTTTATTCAAGTTTCAAGGTTTTTGGCTTGGTGGACTTTTTTTTGGAAGTGCCCATATGATTCCCATATACAGATTATGATTATGCCTCTTTCATTGTTTTTCTAGAGTTTTTCATGGGTTCAGTACAGGAAAAAAGATGGATTAGATTAATTTATCCCACTATCTAAAGTAAACTTGCATTGTTTTTAAATTTGTGGAGTTCTTGATGATAAAAAATGTAATACACTAAATATTAATGAATTTAAAGGTTGTTATCATAATTTTACGAATTTCTTGACTTTGCCTTTTGTCTATAGATTGTTCTATGCCTCTTACATTGTTTTTCTATAGTTTTTTATGGGTTCAGTATAGGAACAGAGATGGATTCGATTCTTTTATACCACTATCTAATAGAAATCAAGATTTAATTCAAGTAATGACCTCAGGATTCCGAGTTCCTGAAGTTTCTTAGTGGTTTTCGCAAGAAATTAAGGTATTTTATCATTATAACATGGTTTTTCCTAATGTTTTGAATGGGAGCAGTACAGAAACAGTCATGGATTTCATGGATCCCACTTAACACCTAAGGAGTGACATCAGTTCTCCGACTTCCTGGAGCTTCCCACCCACATACCTTTGTGGGCACCTTGGCAAACTTCTGATCGAAGGCATCCGATATGTTGTGCGCCGGATCTGTGGATATAATCAGCACCGATTCCCGCACTTTCGACAGCTGAACGGCCAGGCTGGAACTACAAAATAAACCACATATTTTATTTTGTGCTACAAATTGGTTTTTGGCCAAGAAAGCTGGCTTGTTGTTGTTTTACCTGCACGTCGTCTTGCCCACGCCACCCTTTCCGCCCACAAAGATCCACTTCAGCGAGTCCTGCTCGACGAGGTTCTGCAGGCTGGGCTCCAGCGGCTCCAAATTGTCGACCATAATGCCAACTAAAGCGAGACACGTAGGAAATTAAGTGAAATTAATTGCAATTTTTCTGGCGAGCAGTATGACCGTTCGCTGCTGGTATGCTGGAATAGCGGCAAAGCGGTTATCGAAATGGCAATCGATAGGCAAGGGAAACAGCTGCTCACGAGCAGGGTTGCCTATTTACTTTTGGGCGCCAAACGGAAATTTCAAATGGGCCTAACGAATAAAAATTAACAATATCATTTCAAATGTGAGACTTAATCGGTAGCGCTATAAAGTGAAGATCAAAACTAAATGAAACTCTCAGCATTACGAATGCTTTGCTGCGTAAATTTCTCAAGCTCTGCCTCTTTTATTAAATGCACAAAGCGCGCTCGCAGCGCAAGAAAATCACAATAAGTGCCGCGGATGCTTGTCCCGCCACCGCGTTTCCCGCGCCATCGCAGCCCACTACTGTTAATTGTGCAAATCGCGAGCTTATCAAAACCCTAGCGTCGGCGAGAAAATGCGAACAACAAAAGAACAAACTCGTATAGCTGTGGACTACTAAAAATAGTTGCGAAAACACCTCCCATTTAGTGTCTACGCGTTAAAAGCAGTGCGTTTATTATTTCGATTTCCAGTATTATCGCGCTATTCCCTGTTACACCCCAAACCCCACCGATTTCCGTCCATTACCAAGCTTTCTCGCCCACTGAGCTCGATTTAAATAAAATAAAGATTTTTCCTTATCGCGAAATACGGAAGCTGTGACACACTGTGCGTTCTGTAAAGTAAAACTTATCCGGAAAGCTAGACGGAATTGCAAATATGAATAATATTAATGTAAGTAAGAGTAAATTTTTAAACTCTCTAATTTTGGCATTACAATGTTATTAACTAACGTTTTTAAAATTTAATGCCTTGATTTTTACAAGTTATTTATTACAAATTACCCAAATAATAATTATAATTTTATTAATTTATAATATCGCAAAAATAGCACGATTTATTTTGATAATAATTACTATTATTTTATTACTTATACTATTATACGTTTTAGAAAAGATATTTTATCTTAAAACGAGTTTGGAAGGGCAAATAAATTTCACTCGTTTAGAAAATTAAATAACTTACAGTGTACCTTGAAAAGTTTATCTTAATCGATTTTGAATGCGAAGTATTTTATCAAAGGTCGCAATTGAAAGTATTTCTTTCACCTGTGAAAGCTGCCAAATTAATATCACATTAATTAATGGTAAAATGATAAACACTTGACAGTCCAATTTGTAGATATTGACTTGCCTTATCGCCAAGCTGAAAATAAATATATCAACCAAAAATACCTGATTTTTGTTATCACAGAAGGGTTTATTGAAAACCCATTCATGGCAGTAAAAAGTGGAATTGAAATGAAGTAAAGTAAATCGCTTGGGTAAAAAACAAACGTTTTTCGGCCACATATGTACTTGTGTATGTAAATCCATTTTATTCGGCTGAAACGTTTCAATCATTCTGGCAGAGCGTTTAAAAATAAAGTGATAAAGTTGGCTGGATGATTTATGTATTTGCCCAGCCCTGGGTTTTCGAAATCCGCTTTTCGCAAGTCTGTGTGCTTGCGTGCGTTTGTTGGCCCATGAAATATGAGCGCATTAAATTTTATTATATTGTTTGGGCCATTCTCGGCTTTGGTCCAAAGCACAGGCACACACTCACACTCGCACACAGGAAAGCGTAAGGACAGCAAACAAGCGGAAAGTTCAAAGTCAAACAATAACACTTTCCATAAACAAAAAACCCAACTCACACAGACACATTCAAGCTACACATACGAGTGAGCAGCCAATTTGCTTGAAATCAGCGATGGCAACGTTTCTGTTACCGTTACCTGAGCACAAGAAAAGCATAAGAAAAGTTGATTTATCCTTTTTCGAATTATTTTATTACTTTCATTTTATGAGCTTTGTCGATCATGGACATGAAAGAACTTAAACAACTTAAAGAACTTTGCAGTTATATTAGCCAAATCAGCTTCGCATAAACGATCCATGTGCGTTTTTTGGCTGCGGATAAAAACAAACATACAAACAAATGGGCACCACTCGCTCCCGCGTTTAATAAATGTTTCTGTCTGCGTTTTGTTTGGGGGCAATTCGCCAAGTTTTCACCTGGCCGAGCTGGGCTTTTTTATTCGTCGTCCTTCGAGTCCTTTGAGTGCGCACTTTATCAAAGCTTAGCACCTGACAATTTGCCGCGCGACATGCGGCCATCTGCATCAGCCCTCTCTGTCTGGCAAATTATAATGAAAAAGTGCTTTGTCTCCTGCACTCCTTGAAGCTGTTGTTGCCGCCGGCATTTTCCACTTTCTGCAGCTCGCTGCCTTTGAGCAACTAATTAAATTAAATCCGATTAGTGCGGCGTGGCAAGTGGAAAGTTTTAGAGTCCTTATGGCAATTCTCGCTGCCGTCGGCAACTTGCTGCACTCCCATTATCCCACGGCTCCAGAATGGGCGGGGCCAGGGCCAACTAAAACCTTGATATTGTCTGCAGAACTCGACAACAGAAGCATTATAAAACCATCATTTTAATTAATAATGGTATAAGAATAGCTTTAATTTTGCAGTTAAACCGAACCATGCTTTTACTCGGAAAGGAGTAAACCTTGATTTTGTCTACAATGGAAGCATTATCCTCAAAGATTTATATTTTGAAAGAGCGATAGTTAGGCGTTGGGGGCCTTACTACAAATTAAGACTTTCCCCCAGTAGCCCCAAACAGCTCCAAAAACAACACTTACGAAGAGGAATAAATCACCTTATATGTGCTTAACACTTAAAGTTATTGTAATTTCGAAATGGCTTTTTTGACCTGAAATTAGGTTCGGAAAAGGTCAAATCATTAATGAAGTGAATATTTAGAACTCCCCATTCTTTGGGGACTTAGTTTTAAATTAACTTTTTGATTTTAAAATTATGAACAGTTGCTCCGACCAAGATTCTTTTTTGACCATCAGTTAATTTCATTACCCAAATGCTTAACTTTTATTTTTTAAATCTCTACCATTTTCTTTAAAGTATGAGAAACTTTGATTTCATGTTACAATACAAAAACTAATCTGTGGATAAAAAATAATATTTTTCGACTAGTGAAACTCTTAGCCGATGTGAGATCAATCAATATCAATACTTCAAACCACCCGTATCAAATATTTATGCTAAAATTTAATTTTATTTTGAAAATACTCTGACGTTTAGTAAATTTGGGGTTTCATTTGTTTAAGGCCACTATTTTGTTGGTTTTATATCATATACTTAATTTTTAAACGGTTTAAATTTTGGTTAAATAAAATAATAGATATGCAACATTAATTTCTGCTACTAAAAATACACCGAGTGTAGTCCTCTATTTATAGGATTAATGTATTTAGTTCCCTAATATCTGCGTGTCGTACACGTTGATTTAGGACTCTATCCTTTGTTTCCCCAGGCAGGACTCTAGTGTGATTAACAATCAGGGATTTTCCTAGGGGGTCCAGGTGTTTGTTTAGACTCAAACTTAATGGACAACCGGTGATGAAAGCTTTCATTAAACAACAGCATTGTGCGCACTCCCAGTTCAAGTGGCAATTGAGGTCGGGTTTTCCATGGAAAAGGTTCTTATTAACGCCACGGCGAGCTGCCACTCAGCCGATGGGTGTTTGGTGGCATGCAACAGGCAACGGAGTTTTCCGAGCTTCGCTGTCAGCGCGTCAGTCAGTTTTTTCTCGCAGAAATCCCGCTGACTCACAGCTCGCATTTCTGCATAAATTTCCAGCGAAAGCGACACTACATTGTGGAATTTCGATTAGCTGCTGCCCGGGGCCGTCGCTTTTGGCCGTGACTTTGAATTGGGCCTTAACCGTTGAGCAGTGCACTTCGAGGACCTCGCCGCTCCAGTTGCAGCAGATTGACGAGGATTACGAGGTGAGTCTGGGCCTGCAGTTTGATAAATTGAGCGCCTGTCAAGTGGGGGAAAAAGTTCTGGGGAAAAGGCTTTCGCTACACTGATGATGATTGATCTCCTGGTGGCGATAATTAGTGCATTAGACCGTTATCTAGCACAAGTGGACTTAAAATAGTTGCAGTTTTGAAAATTTAATTTAGTAACATTTTTCTTAGCACTTGGAAATAATTTAGTTAGCATTTTTTAAAGCGTTATTCAAACTATTTATGGCAAACAAAGATTTAAAAAATAATTTAATAATTTAAAAATAACACTAGTAACGTAAATAGTAAATATCAATGCAACCGGAAGAAAAAATTTTAATTGTAATTAAATACATTTTCGATTATAAATTAAAGGTAGTTATGAAATGTGCATTGTGATTGAACTGGTAAATACTGAGTGGCTAATAAACCTTATCGCACAACAAGGACTTGCACACACACTATTCCATGCATTTATCTCCTTTTAAGGGCGTACATTTCAATTGCACCTGTTAACCGTTTTCTAAATTTATGACTTCCCCACTTGTTGTTGCTGCGTTATCCTTTGGCTTCTGTTTTTGCGATAAAAGGCCCGGAAAGAGAAAGGGGGGAGGGGAAGAAGTCCCCTTAAATAAAATCAACAGCTCACACATTCAAATGCAAACACAAATACACCACAGAGTAATGTCAGGCAACAAGAACGACAAGGAATATTAATTCGCACACAAAGCGCATTATGCAAGCAAACGAGCTAGGGCTAACCCCTCACCCCCTAACCTCCGCCCGGCTCACTCACCTTGACGGGGGGCTGGTGGGGGACAGGTTCTGAGGGGAGGGGGAGGAGCCAGCTGTCAGCCGGCAAACGGCTTTCACTTTCCTTCCACAGCAATCGGAGGTGTGGTGGGTTCTTTGCCAGAAAGTTCGCACGCTTTCTCTTTGCCTTGCACTCTCTTTTGTCTAAGAGAGTATAGAATATCTTTTATAAAGGTCTACTTAAATAACTTTTCAATAAATATTTCTGTGATCTTGCTATAAAGAGCGAACATTTGTTTATTGCTCATACGCAGCGTTGCAAAAGATTTTATTTTAGTAGACTTAAAATAAACCTTTTAAGAAAAGAATATGATGTACAACGAGTCGTATACGTTATTTATGATGAATATGATGTACAACGAGTCGTATACGTTATTTATATGGCCCGCCCATTCAACCGAAGTAGTAAATATAAAAAAAAATAATTTTAAAAAACTGTATATATCCTTTATTTAAATTGATAAATAAAGGATAACTATTTATGAATAAATGCATTCATAATTTTCTTGAACATATAATAACCTCTTGATGGTACTTAACCTCTAGTCCGGCAGCTATTTTAGCTTCCAAGATTTAACCAGAAGATAAAGCTTTAACTGTCACCTGTAATTAAAAGCCGCAAGCTTTCATATAAGCCACTTAACTGTTGTAAACTTCGGTTGCCTTGGAAATTAAGCTAAGGACTCAGCTTGAAGCGCTCTCTTTCCGCCAGCGAACTCACCACACCGCTCGCAAGAGAGATTTAGCCAAAGAGAGTGGACCGACTGAGCCTGATTCTGTGAAAATTGTAATTGAAATTCCAGCGTCGCCGATTCGGCGCCTGCAGTGCGTAGGCGGTTGTCGTTCACTGACGTCGTGGCCAGCAGCACGTGCTAACCGAGGCGGCGCGTGCAAGCAAAAAACCAATATATAAAAAACAGCAGCTGTGGTGGCCAACAACAAAATCAGCAACAACAACAACCACGTCAAGCGGAGAGCAGCCATTGCAAAAACAACACATACAACACACACAGCTTTACTATCACAACAACAAAGGCTTTGGGCTAGGCAAGGAGGAGAAGGAGGAGGAGGGGGGGAAGGAGAGCAGAGGAAAGAATCTAACTTGAGTGAAATTTAAGCGGATGAAGAAGACAATACATCAATGCAGGCTAACGGTTTTAGTGTGTGTGAAAGAGTGTAAGGAAGAAAGAGCGAGAGAGGGAGAGTGAGTGAGTGTGGAAATGCGACAATAAATTAGCTGTAATCTGCACCTTGTTATTTGCACCTGAATCGAAAGTGGTTTATATAAATACATATATTTTTTTGCTATAACAATAAATAACAACCAAGCGAGTAATCAAAGTTAATTTACCAACACACGAAAAAGTAAACGCAAATTCTATTTACGCAAAATACTCAACAAGAGGGCAAATAGAAAGAAGAGGAAGAGCAGGCGGATAAGTAGGCAACACAAGAATTAGAAGCAGCAGCCGCAGCAAGCAGCGCAAACAGGATACTTAAAATATCAAGGCAAATACAGGCACACGCACACACACATACATACTTACCCCGACGGAGGTTCATATTTTTGGCCAAAAAAAAAACCACCGCACGAAATAAATATAAAATAAACCCAACAACGGTGAGGTGTATGGCCCAAAGGCAAGGCAAACAAACAGAGCCGAAAAAAGAAAAGGAAAGCCGAAACAGAAACTGAAACAGAAAGATGCCAAAATGCTGGACAGAGATTGATGCTGGCTGCCGACGAACAGCAACAACCACATTAACGACAACAACAAGAACAACAAGACAACTGCAATAACAATAATAAGGCCAGGAAAAACGACAAGCAACAACAACAGTGACAACCGCCAAATGTGAGCAGACAAGCGATAGCAATTGAGATATGTAAGTAACGCATACAGACACACGTCCATATAGAGACAGTCGAGCTCCCTTATAATGGCGATCAAGATTTAATTATTTAAAATTGGGAAAAAAAAGTTTGAGTAATTGCATATTGTCAACTTAAACATCTCTTCTAATCGTTAATAATATATTGAGTTTGAAAATTAAAGTTGTTATTCTTAAGTTGGATATTGATTGACAAGCAGGTTAGACTTTGTGTAATGGTATTGTGTTTATAAACTTCGCTTTTAAATTTATGGCTCCAAAACATTAATCCTTAAACCGTTCGGCCATGCATATTCAAAAGCTAAATAGTGGCCACACATTAAAAATAATGCATATTTTTAAATGTATTTTAGGTAGAAGAACATTTAATTTTTTTACTTTTAACCAAAAACTTTTTGGGTTTCTCAATTAGTTTGTATTCAGCTTTCTATCTAGAATTCTAGAATATTCTAGAGTACGTAAAAAGAAGTTGGGGACAAATAAACTCACTTGTAGAGTTCAATTTATAGACGTTCTCCTGTACACTCACTGAGAATCGAGTTTGGGGCAAAAGCTTTATGCATATTTTTACAGCATTTTAGTGTGAAATGATGTGTTAGCGCATTATTTGACTTAGGCACGGAAAATGCTAAGCTCCCCAGAGAGAGAGGGAGAGACGGAGAAACGGAGAGGAGAGCAAGAGACAGGACAGCGGAAGACAAAGAGAAAACAGGACGAAGAGTGAGATGAGAGAATGAATTTGTTGAACCTTAGGCCTTAGGCCCAGGCAGAGTTGAGTTGAAGTGGAAGACAAACAGGGCAACAAGGCAGATACACACACACACTGGCACTCGAGCATACCTTTGTATGTCTGTATGTCGAAGACGCACACACACACACACAGCCTACAAGGAATCACACTTAAATGCCACCGTTGTTCGCTACCCAAGTTGTATCAACTTGTGCTGTCCCAAGAACCTCGGCCATTCGCGCAGCATTCGAACTCAATTTGGAAGGACCAAATACCAACACACTGGCGCGCACACAGGCCAAAAATCGATGAGACGAAAAAGAATGGCGAAAGCCTGGCCAAAAGCAAATACAACAAATTTCCTATTTGGTCCTTGGCCGGCCTTAACTCATCAGGTTTTCTTTTATTTGCCATAAAATCTAAATTTTGGTATAGGTTCACCCGATTGTGGGCCACGAAAACTAGGCAACGCTCTCTGGGCCAAAACTCGAATCAACAATTTTCCCATAAAGTCCGCTTTGCACTAATGAGAAATCAATTAGCATCGTCTGGACCCCAAAACAAAAAACGAAATAAGCCCAGACATTAAACTTTGGGGTTCGGGCAACGCTACAAAGTGCATTTAAATGAGCTGAACGATTTTTTTTATAACTAAAAATGGTGTTGAAAATGATTTAATTTTTAACTTCAAATATTCATTTACAATGAACTTAAAATATACCACCTTTAAACTAACCTTGAACTAACTTCATACAGCACTTGAATTCCCTATATAGGTTCAACTCCTAATTAAATTAAATTGTTCAATTAATGCTCTCCCTAAATGTCTTATGAATCTTTTGAACCAGCTTAGACCCCAATCAGTATGCAAATATTTAGTCTTCGACCTTTGCGCAAGGTAAATTACCAAGGAATTCACAAACAAAGACATTATCCTGGCAGCCGAGATGCCTCGGACAACAGGAGCGGACCGAAAGAGCGCTTCGATCTAATGGAATAGATAAATTGCTGGCTTCGACTGCTTTGATATGATTTTAATGAATCGGAATCCGAGGCAACAGTCTGGGCAAATTAAATCTCAAATGGGCGGTGGGTGGTTAAAATGAAATGCCTGTGAACTGCGCATCGGGCTCCAGACAACCGACATCTCCTTATATCAGCTGCAGCTCTCTGGTACCGTGGCTCGTGTATGTCCTTGAAAAGTGAACCCAATCGCAACCCAGTCGCCACCCAGCCACCTACCGTTTTAAGGTTTCACTAGAATGTCAACTGATTGCTATTGCAATTGCAATTGCAAAGCTTTAATTGACAAAAGCGTTGCAAGTTGGTTCCTAGAACTTTATGTGGAGGTTGTCTGCCAAAGAAACGCTCATAAATTACCAACCACAAGCGGGCGGCAGAAGCGTCGAAGTACGAAAATCAATTTCCGCTGAAACCGTAGACAATTCAGACAGTTTCGAGCAACAACAACCCGGTTAGCTGGAATCGAATGGAACAGGAGAATTGTTTTTCTCTGTTTTACTCGGTTCCTCGTCCTTTCCATAGATAAATGGGCTCCATATGACCGCAGATGTGTGGCTGCTCCACTGTACGATTGCTTCACTGTACGATTGCTCCACTGCTCAGCTGTCTGCCGTTAATGGTTCGATGCACACGATATAAAACATACACTGAACAAAAATTAAAAAATTAAATACTCCGGATAAAACTTAGAAGATACATTTTTTTTAGACTTTGAGAATCTTTTTTTAACATTTAGGGAACGGTTTTAAATACATATAATAGTGATACAAAATTAAATCTTATCGAACCGGAAAAAAACCTCAAGATAAAATTGCAGTTGTCAGTAAAATCTGCCATAACATTTAAACTATTGTGTTTAAAAATATGACCTAATTTTCTATTAAGTAATCTACCTATGTAGTAAATATCTATGAATTTTTCTGAATGTCTGGGGGCAACCCAAGCCTCCATTTGACTTCCGCTTGCGTGGTTCCATCTATTTGCACACACATTGCCAGAGCCACTGGCTGACAGACAGGCAGCCATCAGTGCTCGGCCAGGCATCATAAGCCGCACCACATCGCATGGCGCCACATCAGCTAGCGCCCAGCTCCCACCACCCACCACCCACCACCCACTAAGGACATTGCGACCAGCGCCACGTGCGCCCATTGGGATGTCAGAAACAAAGCGCCAACACTGCCGTATTGACTAATGAAAGTGGGGCTGGCGACCCAGCTCCAACCCAGACGTTGGCAAACAGAAACAGGCCGAAGGGACCCCCTATTCCGTATTCCGTATGCCCTGATCGGAACGTAAATTGACAAAGAGCACAATGGCGTTGACGATGACAGCAAATCCTGTTCTTACAATGTATCCGTACACAAATACTCGCACAGTGAATTGTGCGAACGCATCCAGTAAATTGCTCAATGCTCGCCATTGTTATCGCCTGTGGGTCGCTTGTGGCAGTTGCAATCCTGATTGACTGACTAACTGAGTGACACACTAACTGACAGAATATGTGGGTATGTAACTAAAGTGCACACTGTACAACAAAAGCGGTTACTATGTGAAAATCAAACAACAGCTAATTTGACATTAAAACTTGATATCCTTGTTTGTACAATCTACATCTGTATGTCTGTATATAAACGGGTTAAAGAGTAGCTGCATTTGCAAAGGTTTATTCCAGATCAATTGCGGTCATCTTATTTCGAATTGCAGTTAATGAAAATTAGTTAGAAAATGTACAAATAAAGCAATAACAACTTTTCCAATTATAGCTAACATTTTGTGTAAATTTTAGGATGAATAATTGAGGCAGCCAATAGCATAGGGCAACAGGTAATAGGATTCCCAGAAAAACGGATTACTTGCAACCAACGCCAGTTATGCTCCCAGTTACAGCATTTCGTTTGAATTTGCGGATTATAAACTTTCACCTATTGCAGTGTAAGAGAAATGCCTTTCATAAAAGTTCTAATGCATACCGTTGTAAAATTAAATGAAGGTAAAACCAGATATTCGCACAGTGAAATAGTGAAAAAATACTTTTTAAAAGTTAACCATATATGGAAACCACTAACTGTTTAATGGCTTAAATATTCCATGTTAAACATTGTTTGCATTATTTGTCTGACATTACAGATAGGAGAGTTTCTAGTTAAATCCAATAACATATTAACATTCTAGGGACTTTGTAGAACACAAAGTAATCATGACACAAAAGTTTCATTCGGATGGCAGTCAAACATTTCTATAAATGAAATTTTAAACTTTTCATTATTTTTGACAACTATTTATTACAAGCTTAGGTGAGTTCTTGACAGGGATACGGGATAGATAATTTGGACTCTCCTAAAATCAAAAATATTTGTCTATTACAAACTTTAAAAACAAGGGTCAAATTCCTTAGCGTCAATTTTCATTATATATCTGAATTGTTTTCTCAAGGCTGACCGTTTGTATCATTCTTGGAACTCTCTTGTGTATGCAAATATCTGTCACTTGAATCAATTGAGCTGGGAGAGTTTAGAAAGTGAGGCTAAAGCTGAAAAGCACTATCCAAACAGAAGAGTGACTGGCAGCAAACCATGGACCACACCAGTTGGATCTGCACAGGGAAAAACTTGGACACTCTATTGGCCCCTGTTTTGGCCAGTCGGGTTTTTCCTAACTCTCTTTTAGCTAAAAGCATATATTTTATTATTATTTTCTTTTTTTTTGATATACTATGCATAACAAGTATATCATATGTTTACTGTCTTGAGTGTAGAGGCGTAGGCAGGGGGTGTTTTGGTTTTCGGTTTTTAAAAGTGTACTAAACAACATTTTGTACTGAAAGCCCCTTCTTAAATCCTGGCTACGCCACTGGTTGAATGCATCTCATGTGACCGATCGACTGGCGGCGGAAATGAGACGCAATGAAATGGATGCCAAGGGATTGGACTGTACTTCCCTGCTGGAACTGGCACTGCCGATAAGGCGGTGATATGGTAAGCAGACACCCATCGGCGACGACGATGACTGTCAGTCAACGGAACGCCCTTTGAATGTGCGAGGGAAATGGAAATCGAATCGGGCGTCAAGCGGAAGTTGGCAACATTGAAGCACCGCACCTCACCGTCCCGTCCTTCCAGTTAAAACTTTGAGGATGCCTTGGGGGTTCTCCAGGCTCCGTCATTCCATTCCTTTTCCTTTAAAGCCATTCGCAGCACGCGCTGGCTAACACACACTCACGCACTCACGGCGCACAATC